AGAAAAACGGCGAGAGGTGAAAGATAAAATAATCTTGCCCAACTGACAGTGTTGAAATAATTACATACACACAAAGGCATTAACAAAACAACTTTTATAGTGCTTGTATTTACATTACATTTATCATTTAGCCTGTACATCCAATATTAGCTCATATATTCTACACCATTCAATTGTAGTATATATTTCCTTATGATATAATATATACAGTGGAGAAAGGAAGAGCATCTCTAGTGTCTTTAGATTCAATTACATTTAAATGGACTAGGACTTGTAATTATAATTAATTAATTAATTATTATTAATTAATTATAGGATGATTATAAAATTGTAATTGTAACATTTCCTAGTTCCAAGAAAATTACACAGCAAACAGTGCAGTGAGTATTTTTCATCAACTACATACAGTAACCTCTACTTATAGGCCAGTGCAGTGCAGTGTGTGAGAGTTGCTTCCTCACCACCTTCCAAAATATCTCGCACAGCTCATCAGATGTGTGATCGACAGGTAGGCTAATGATGTAATGACACACCAGATGTTTGAGCTCTTGGTGCCATATTTAGCCACAGGAACATCTGCTGCAACCCAAGCCGTGATTGTGTGTATAGGTAAAAAAGTAGTTCCACATATTGTGTGCTGAGCATCAAACCAAGGTTGTGAAACCCAAACAGCATCTCTTACTCTTTAATGTAGGAAGCAAATAACAAATGTTTTCTGCCTGTTTTTTTCAGCACTTCTCTTAGGATCCTTTAGTTATTGGCTTAGTGAAATCCACTGAAAGACACATGTACTTGAGTACTGCTTAATAGCTTCAATCCAACATGGTGGGTATAATCCACGCAGCCACACCAAGCACCTCAAGCTCTTCTATGTATAGTATCACCTTGGTTTTTGTTTAAATATATAAGGTAAGTCGAAGCAGTGTGGAACAGTAGTAAGGAGGACATCATGTAGTATGAAATTAGGCAGGGTTATTTGGCATTTTTGAAGTAAATGAAAACAATGTTAGTTGGCATTTGTGTTGCAGATGGATACATGTTTTGGCATGATGAAGTTGAGCAGCATGTCTACTTGAATAAGTAGTGGAACAACAGAGGCTGAAACAGCAGCAGATAGTTGAGGCCTGGCAGACGGGAGGCTAAGCTCGTCACATTGCAGTCATCACTGTAGCAGCAGTGAACTCGGACACCTGGTGCTCTGTAGCCCTGGCTGTTGGCCTGACTGCAGAAAGACTTGTAGGAGCATGACTTCATCACCCCACCTGACAAACAGACAGAAATAGAAAGGTATATAGGTATATAGATTTGATTAAACTTGTTCCAATAATAAAACTGCCTGGCTGACTGATTCATTCACGTTATAAAGCTTTAGTCTTGTTTTTCATTATTGATTTGGGATTTTATCACTTTATCTGTGGGTGTCCAGTATACATATACCATATTTTATGGTTCCATCTACCATGTCTCATTTATACACAGGATGATGGCCTCTGCTGTTGCCCCACTTTTTGATAATTAACTAGAAACATTTTATGTAAAACCTCATGCAGGTTTAAATTAGTAAAACAAGTTCATTTTGTGAAGAGGAATTGTCTCAGTGCCAAGAACACATGGTGTCCTAATTAAGTATATTGATTGAATAGGAGTAGCAAAGCTCTTCATTTCCTTAAAAGCCTCAGACCCCCTGCTGACTGAGATGTGTCTCCAGACAGCAGCCTGTCCTCCATTAAACACACACACAGATACAAATAGAGTGTTATGTTTCTTCATTGTTGGTAGGAAAAAAAAAGGAGAAAGAAAGCTAGTAAAAAGAAGGGCTACTACACTGTCACTGTTGGACTCACTGTCATGGCCCACCACCACAGCACAGGCATCAGAGTAGCTGGGACAAGATTTGGAGCCTTGCCGGTTGCAGTCGTCATTGTTGGAGCCCATACAGGTATAACATTGCAGAGCCTCACCTGAAGGAAACAGAAAAGAAATACTGACACAGCACATCCTAATACGCTGACATCATGACGTACTGAAAGAAAGGAGTTTAAAGCATAGTTTTATCTTGCTGAAATGCAGTTCAGAAAAATGTAGTGTCACTGCATGAAAAACAGCAGAATTAAATGTTTTCTTTAAAAAAGTACAAGCATAATGTAATATTAAAATAAAATGTGTAATATAACTTGATTGAATGACAGTCACACAAAACCATATTATTCCAAGATTAGAAATTGTGCTCAACAGCAAGTTAATGGCAGTTAAAGGTTGCAACTGGAGCACATTTAAAGGGAAATGCAGAACCGCATACTTTAAAGCCAGCCCTATGTTTTTCTTAAACTGACCTGATGTTATTGCTTCAGTTGATGGGAACTGTTTATAATGCTAATGCAGGATTGCCCACCAAATATCTCAGTGATGGTAAAAAGAACAACTAAAAACAAGCCCTGTGTCAGATATATTGACTTCTTTCAAAGCATGAATATGCTACTTAATGCTGCTAATGTTACTGCTGCCATGTTTGTCCTTTAAAAACCCATATGACTTAGACATTGGTACAAGTGAGCCAGCTGTGGCTGCTCTGACATGGTAAAGACTGCAGTAGATTGTAGCATACTCAAGCTAACTTCAGTCCATTTATCATCAGTTCTGGTCAAGCAGTGTCTACAAGGGCCTAGACTCTGGATAGTTTTTATCCTTTATTAACACAGGATCTATGGGTTTGAGCCGTATGCACACAGAGGCATGGTGAATTCACATCTGGATGGCAGTGACAGTGATTGTACAGTTAAGAGAGAGCAATAATTACTCACTTCCTTCACACAAATCTTCCCAAACTCAGGCAAAGAATTAAATAAGTGCCCTCAGATTTAAAAAAACACATCTTTCTAACCTTCAGCTAAAGCTTCAGGAGACACTCAAATGTCTTTCTAAAGCTCTCCGGAGGAAGGAGCGGTTATTTGAGAACTAACTGACCTTTGAAATATCACTATAAAGCTTCCTTTTGAAAAAACCTTCATCCGTCTCCTAAATTCTAAAATGGCCCCTCAGAAACAGCCTTTAATGCTGCTTCCTAAGAGGATCAAACAGAGCTGGACTTATAGGAATTGCCTAAAGCTTCAAACATTCTTTGTAGCAGCACATCTCTTGTCTTGGCCATCAAAATAACCTCTTTCCACCCTAAACTCCTGGTCTTTCATCATTCAGTCATGATGATGGTGGGAGGACAGAAAAGTTGCACAGACACACGAATTGTTGTTTACACAGAGGTACAGACCAGAGTGGGGACATTTTCTAATCAAACCAGAATATGAATTACTAAAATATCAGATTTTCAGTCCTTTTTTATATATAAAAGCACAACTTGAACAGCAAAAACATGAAAACAGCAAACCAAAAATGTATTGTATGAATTTGATTAGTTGGTCTCATTTCTTTGCTTCCCATATGCCCCTCTGTATGTTAACATGCCACAGCAAATACCCCCTGCTGTTTGTAGTTGACCCCAGTCTGCACAGCCGCTCCACACACATGCTATTAGCCTCCAGGCCTATTAAGAGATTAGCTGCTGGGATTGCATGCAAGTTACAGAGGAGGGTGACAGACTGAAGGGAGGCAAAAGCCAGTAGAATTGCCATAGAAATTCACAGCAGTTCGTAAACTTGGCCTAAAAAAGTCATTATAAGGTTGTAAACTAGTCTTATTAGAGTTACATAACATGCAAGGCATTTTCTGCTGTAGTGACTGTAGTGTTTTCCTGTCCTGAAGGCTATTTTGTATAATAAATTCATTCAATAGGTTCCGGCCTCTCAGGGAAAGACTAAAATACAGAAAAAACACAAATGCAAACTACTGTTGGAAATTCAACAGTGGAAAGGGAGAAGAGCACCTGAAGGGAGACAACGAATGGAAGTCCAAATGACAGGTGGACAGAGGCTAGAGCAGAGATCTAAAGGGGGGATGAACTTGAAGATAGGAAAAGGGAGGTTATTAAAAATAAAATCCTTGTCCTTACTGTTGATTGCTAGCAGACCCAGAGAAAGCAGAAGCAGTGGACAGTACTGGACAGCTCTCATGGTGCTGGCAGTCCTCGGTCTTCCTGATCACACAATGAGAGAAGGTTGTTTGCTCCTAAAGCCCCCTGAGCTTAATCTGAGCTATCAGATGAGCTAATATCCCCCCTCCTGCACTGACCAGGAGATTACCAGCCTCTTCACTGGGACCCACAGCTCTGTGTTAATTGTCAATAGTTGCTTCTTCAGCCTGGATAGGCAAAGGAGACAATAGTAGTAGATACCTTTCACCTTAAAGACGTATGTGCTGTAGCCACACCCATCCTGAGTCTGGCTCCCTGTCCCCACCTGGTCCAATTCTTATGTCACCCTGTTGCACCAGGGCTGATCATGACGAAGCTGTTCTCTGAACTGAAGTTTATAAATCAGATCTACATTCTACATTATAGATTTTAGAAGTAAATCACTGCAACATTGCAATCCTTTAAAGCTTTGGTTCCTCACCTTTTTTTTGTCTAACGTACCCATGACATGACATATCCACTCGTTTCTTCGTACAAGACAGTATGACTGGGGTGCAGAAGCTTGATGTTGAACCATTTATCACACACAATTACAACACTTGGCATGAAAGCATGTCCTGTTCAGTAGTTAACTGGTTATTGTGGCAATAAATATATCAAATATCAACCTCACAGCAATTTGTAATTCTATTTGTGTTTATTTTCTTCCAAAATGCAAATATGTGGATAGACATGTATATTTTACTAAATTATAGTGTTTTATTGAAAAGCATCTTTCCACATACACTTTCAGAAGTATTCCCTGTGGTACACATAACCCTGATAAGGAATCACTGATCTAAAGGAAGAGAAAAGGTGACAATAAACCCAAAAACAAAGGTCTATTGCATCAGTGAACATTTAAACATAAACAAGATCACCTGTGCATGTGTATCTTGTTTCCTTATGTGGGGAAAGAACAAGAGCAAACACAGTGTGCTGTATTGCCATCTTTTATTGCACTTTGTAAGCAGATGCTGTACAGTAGCTGTGCAGAGAAGTTATTCCTCAGTGTGACACAACGACCATAGCAGGACTAGGACATATCCATCCAAAATTAAATTACTCTTGGTCACACTGAATACAGTCACGATTAGTTTGCTTTATATCAAAATAAAATCCAAAAAATAGTCCCACAATTTCATCGAGAAAGCTATGACAAGTATGACAAATATCTACAAGGTTACATGAGGGAAGCGGGCAGAGGATGACAGAATAACTATCAAAAATGCAGATGAGTCTTGGAATTTCCTACAGTATATACAAACATTAACAATACAAGTTCTTTGTTCTCTCTCACATGCAGTAAGCTAGCGTGATAGTTTGTGTTCTCTTAGTGGTGGTGTATCAACATTTTATAAACGAATCTAAGTCTCTGTTACACTTTTTCAAAATCTATCTTTCTCTTGTATTAAGAGGAGACAACAACAGGAACGGGTAAACAGTCTTCTCCCTCAGTGGCTGTCATGGCATCATTATAGATAATTTAACCCACAAACAATGCTCTCACTTTTCTCATTATCATACGCACACTCTCACACACACAGACACACTCATTAGTGATATGATACATTTTCTAAAACTTTAAACCAGACCCCTGATACAGTACGATACACTGACACATCAAAAATGTACAGAGTGATTAAGAGGAAGCCATTCCTGTGGATCCTGTATGCACAAAGTCAGTAGGAAATTTAACCCCAAGACCATTTTGGCATTCGATGTCCATCAGTCCTTGGAAGAGTGGTAAATATTCCTGATCCGCTTTCACTTTCCAAGTATTTTTTCCACTCCTCTTCTCTGTGAGATTTGGCCTGGGTGTGGTGTGGTCGCTAACTCTTCCCCATCTTGGCAATCAGCTCATCACAGATCTTCGTCAACTCCTCGATCTCTTTGTTCTGTAAAACAGTTGTTAAAATTACGATTAATATGCTTGTTTTTGGACATATTTTAATGACACTACAGTTAGTGAGAAATTCTGACTGACCTTTTGCTCCAAAGTGCGCTCCAGAGAGTCCACTTTCATCTGCTCCTTTCTCAAACTGGCCTGATAGGCGGCCTGTTCCTGCTTGGCCTTACCCCGCACTTGAGCTATCTCTGAATTGGCCCTAGAAAAGTGATACAATGAGAATTAAGTCACCTCTCCCTGACCCCCATAAGCTTGAAAAGTCTTATGAAAGCACAACCTTGCGTTTGCAAAACCAATACAGAATTAATCTTTAGAAATTTCAAACAGATGGAATATAAATAATCTACAGAAACAGCTAATTACATTGGCCTATATCCAAACATATTTCAGCTGGGAATTGAGGTATTGTGCAGTTACTGTATTGTAGTGTTTTCCCTTAGGGGAAAATAACACTTCGCCATGGTCGAACAAAGATAATGAGAGTGTGTATATACTCACTTGTCTAGTTTCTCCTCTGCATGAATCTTCAGTGCTTGATAGCGCTGTTCCTCCTTACGGACCCTGGACAGATACTCCTGAGCGCATTTCTTCAGAACCTCTTCATTCTGAAACAGAGTGGGAAATATTTTAATTACCTGCCATGAGGGTTGTCAAGCAAAATTTTAGATGACTTACGAGGCCGCTCATGCCGAAAACACTCATTACTTGTGAATAATTTGTGTGTTACTTACCTTGCGGAAGCCCTCCAGTACATCCTTCATCTTCTCATAACGTCGGAAGAGGTCGGCCAGAGACTTTTCCACGGAGTTGAGGTCAGCCAAGGCCTGATCCTTCTCCATGATCAGCTGCTGGATGGTGTGGTGGGAGAGAGACTTTTCTTTCTGGTCATCCTCTGATAGATACACACAAATATACTGTATCAGATCTTCAGTCTGTGGACAGTCTGCTGTAGGCAGTGGGCACATACACTGTTTAATGACCAACACCAAGACGCATATGCACAAACACTATATTTTTGACAATATATCACAATGGATTTGTGGTTTAGTATGATTTAACAGCATTTTATACTACACTACATGAGTATATCTGATAAACCAGTGTAGCATGCAAACAAAAACACTGAACAATGGTTAAATCAAAGAGACCATAGAGACAGAGCTGGCAGCTGGTTTGCTTGAGGGGCTTCTAGACCGTTCAGTGCTAAATGACAAAGCTCCCAGAGTATTTTAACCCCCTCTCAGCTTTCCCTTTCCTTTCCTGTCACAAGCTTAGATGACCAACCTGCTTAACTTACTATTTCTGCAACCATCCACAGTATGGAAGCAAAGTGCAGATGTGTAGGTAAAGATTTCCACTGTGCATATACACATTTAAAAAAAATAAAAATTTTGTAATGGTGTACTCAACATCAGCAACTGAGGGATTACACAAAGATCAGCTGAATGGTAAATGCCAAGAGAGCCTGTCCTTAAAAACAATATACAGGGTCTCAAACATACAGGATGAGATGCAACAAAATGGACAAACAAATGTCACTTGATGAGATGAAGAAAGTGAGCACATCTGCTCCCTTCTCTGACGGACAGAGAGACGTGAGCTGAAACAAACAAGTGAAGGACAATCCCGCAGTACTCACCTGGCATGCCTGTCAGGGTTATCAAATAGTGAGGGGCAAAGATGGGAGCAGAACAGAAAAAAAGGGACTGTGTTAAGTCAAGCTGGGAGGGCAAGACACGTGAGAGAGCCAAGTGTTAGACAGAAGCAGAGACAGATTCCTGTTCCTTTTTTGTGACGGTGCTTTAATGAGAGTAAGGAATGAAATTAGACAGGAGCGAAAATCTAATTTTCAGGAATGTCCGGAGGTGGCGTAGAAGATGAGAGGTGAGAGCAGGAATAATGCACAGAAGTGATCCTGCAGCGGAATTTAATGAGTCCAGAGAAGCCGGACTCGAGTGGGCAAAAGGTGAGCACCTCCCCCCCCCAATGGCATCAAGATTTAGTTCATGTCAATCAAACATGAAAGCAAGCACATAGCAAAGCTAGCATGTGTCGGGGGGTAAAACAATACTTAACTCACTAAAATCAGTGCCAATGGAGTAATGCACACAGAGACCTTATACAGTATAGGTTGCTCAGTTTCCAAATAATAATAATAAAGTGCAGCAAAAAGTAGTGGCAGAGGTTTGGGAAGAAAAGTAACTGGTTTGAAATCAAATTAATGTGTACTGAAAAGGGTCCAGTAACCTGTGTATTTTACATTGAACTCACCTATCATCTGTGCAATCGTCTTCTCATACTCAGCAACAATTCTCCTATGGAGAAGAAATTGTAGATCATAAGTAAATGGATGTGGTTATAGCAGACAGTATGACAAATGACTTCAATGTATACATGTCTCTTATTTTATGCAATGAATCTATTTGTTTCTAAATTAAAACATATTGCTGGATTTGGGTGGATATTAGTCAGACAGCTGCTAGAAAGTCGAGTTGAGTGAAACATTTGCTATTTTGAGATATTTTGTTAGATCTTAACAATAAACACACATTAACTGTCATCCAGCCTCCAACCTTAGAAAATTGTCTTATTAAGTAACAGCAGAGTTTTAAGTGCCCTAATCTATTCTTAGCTTTGTATTTTTTCCTTTGTGTGTCTAGTTTCCATCTGAGTCTTGTTGCTAGAAGTTCCCCCACACTCCAAGCCAAACACCAGCAGGGCCGAATAGGATGTCTTGTTTTGTGAAAAGCAGGTTGCCAGAGGTAAGAGGATTGATTAGCCATTCCTCACCCTTAGCCTCTTAGCTCCTCCTTATCCTGCGCCCAATCAGTCAAATGAAGTAAGCTTTGTTTTATCCACACTAACTGAGCTGTGGCCAGCTGGACCCACACTGACCACCTGCTGACAAGAACAAGGTCTCAGTACTGTGTATCTCTGTCTCCGTGAATCCCAATCAGCAGCCATTTATCAGACATAGATTGATCATCTGTAGCCATATTATGAGTGAAGTTAATCCCAGTTTTGAGCTATTGTCAGGCAGTTGATTGTGTATAATCCAAATGACAGCATCTCAAAGCCCCTAACACATTTTCTTATAGATATCTAACTTTTTAACTCTAAAACTTACATATATCAACTGCATCCATTCCTCTATTCTCCACCACTAACTCTCATGTTGACAGTAGGACTCAGATGGACTTCTTTAACTGGCTCTGCAGTTAACCATGGCTTTGGTTGACAGTGTAAGGGAGATAAACCAATTTATAGGTTAAATGGTGATAATGGGTGGAGTCAACAAGGCGCTTAGCACCTTTCCATTAACAAGAAACACAGGGTGGTGTTAAATCCATGCTGTAGTGTGTGGGTGGGACGTGTGATCCAAGTGTTGATGAAAACCCAAGGTGCTACTTCTTACCTCATCTCCACCACTTCCTGTCGGCTGTCTTCATACTTCCTTTGCCACTCCAGCACTTCTTTCTCCTTTGTCACAATCTGAGGAGGGTGACAAAAAAAAAACGTCAGGTAAAATTTAAGATGTTGGATTGAAGTAAATACAGTATTGATTACTTTTGGGGCACCTCTTCTCGTGCAATTCCCAGCGAGTGGTCCAGCTCTCTGGGCAGGTGGGGACTCTCCCCTTCGATGTAGCCGGTGGTCCTCGCGTACAGTGAGTTCTTGGACACGGCACTCTCTATGGGAGATGACACGTCTCTGTGCTGCTTCCGGGAGGCAAACGAGAGGAGGGAGAGGAAAGGAAACATAACTAGTTACAAACCAGACTGAGCTACACATTGGACACCCTCACCCTCTGGCCCAGACGCACATTCTCATCAGGATTCCTGAACCAAATCGCAAGGCAGCATCTAACTACATCAAAATATACCACACAGCAAAATCAATATGTAAATGAGGCAGGCTAGTGATGTTCCTGAAGACTTGGTCAGCTGCCACATGATTGGATGAAACAGTCTTCATTGCCACAGTATTAGCCAAGTGATTTGGCTGATGCTGCCCCCAGCTGAGCGGTCATGATCGCCTGCTCATCGCAGTAGCTTGAATGTGATTGGGTCCGGCATGACAGAGGGGAAGGAGGGCAGCAGTTGATACAGCAAGGGCCGCATCATAAACAGGAGAGGGAGGATAGGGTAGCAGACTGGGCAGCATTGGAAATAGATGTTAGTCTCATGTTAAAGCATATAACAACATATAGACTGGTCTTATCCGTTGGGACTAGAATTATTGTGTTACTGTAACCATTTGCCTTTTACAATTACAAAGGCTATGATGTGAGGTGAATCAGAAAATTAACAGGATTTATCATCAGATAGAGTTTGACTTTGAAGAGGTGTACTGAGAGACACTAAGAACCAAAGTATATGCATGCGTTCATGTGACCATTGCAACCTATGACAATACTCAAACAACAACAACTCTTCACCCAAAACATCCAAATGCAAAAACAATCCTCTTTTTTGTACCATTTTTGGTCCCCTAAAACTCTGCTTTGAAAGGGATTTAGTCATCCTTGGGAGAGCCGGATTATGGGAGGCTTTGATAAAAATGGTGGGGGCTCACAAGGGAGAAGTCGACTGAGAACCTAATACATAGAAAAGAGAGTAAAGTGTTTGGTCTGGCTGGAGCAGTAATTCCATTATTTCACTGAAGGTAAAGATTGGTCAAGTTTAGGTAACCATGGACCTCTCTTGCTTTTAGTTAGTCACTGACTGACCTTACCCCCCAACTTCAGTAAGATTTAATCGGAAACTCAAATCAAATCAACCCAAACTTATCCTATGGCGGTATGACTCATAGTAACTTTTAGTTAAAGCTGTCTTACAGAGACAATCCCAGAGAAATCCCCATAAAATGTCAGTACCATAAATTGGAAGTATGATAAAACAACATGTGCTACGGTGAATAATAATGTGCTATCCTTACTGGGTGCATGCTTGCTGCTGCTTTAGGGGGCTTGGGGCAAATATGAGTCACAGAAAACAACCACTGTTTCCGCAGTGGAATATAATCATGCCTCAGATTTGCTGAATGTGTGGATATTTAAAGTACTAATAATTTGATGAAACACACAGCCCCTCTTTAGGACAGAAGGCACTTTTGGGCATGTTCCTTGTACATTTTTTATTTATTATTATTTTATTGTACTTTGGTGGTGCATGTTGCCAAACAAATTTGTATGAATAAAATTACAACCAAGTAATTGTCACACAAACAGCCTGGGTGTGTGGCCCCTGAGGATCTTGGGCCCTGGGGCAGTTGCCCGCTTTGCCTGGTTGTAAATTCAGCCTCATTAGATCACGTGTCAGGTAAGCTGCAAACATTTTAGCATCACTTGCAGGAGTGCTATGGGCGAAAATCACATAGACTTAATGAAAAACTACTTAATGACAACAAAAAAGGGCAAACTGAAGACACGAGTTGAAGCCACAAAACAAAAACTACGTCAAACACAAATAACCCGGTAGTAGATGTATAAAGACTACAAAAACTAGAGATACTAGATATAACTGCAGAAAACACAACTCCCGATAAATGTACAGCGATGGTAGGCAGCAAATACAAGACCTTAAACAAAGGTCTCAGACTCTTGGACTTCTAAGGTCTACAGGAGTTTACAGTCGCAGTGTATTTAGTCAACTGTTTTGGCTCCAGCAATAGGAGGGTAAAGTGCTGAATTTCAGCTCTGATTTAAAGGGATTTACATCTAATTGGGTAAAACGAAGGAATTAAAGCCCTTTTGCTTGGGGGGTATTATGCATTAAAGGGTTGTGATTTGTCATCTTAACCAATGTAGATGTAGATGTGAACACATTTAATCACTTTTAAAGCTGAAAATCAGCACTATCACCTCATAGTTATTTCAAATCCAGTGTGCCAAAAACAATGACAACGTTTTTCAATACTTGCACTGCACTGTAGCTGGACTAGGACAAGGACAGATCACTGGGGCACAATGTTACTCTTACTTTGAGTAAGGGTGAACCGTTGATATTCCACCGACGAGTGCTGGGTTTCTTGAGTCGAGACTGCAAAATGTGCGGGACAACAGCATGAGACACGGAAAGACAGAATACCGGGAAGCGCCTGCCTTGCTCTTACGAGAGTTTTTCCACTGACTGACACCTACCTGATGTATCTGTGTGTTAGTGCTGTTAGTCTGGGAAAAAAATCAAATCACAAAACAAGAATGTGACTGGGATTTGGGGTGATGATAGAAAAGCATCAACAAATACATCTGGGAGAGTTATAACCATATAATTCCTCAGCTGCTGGTATTAAGTCTAGGGTGAGACATTCCCAGTCACATTCATGCTCATGTACAGTAAGCCTCTCATGAACAGGCAACATGCATGTTGCCCAACATGCATAATAAAGGCAAAGGGACTAGGAAGGCACAGCACTCTGTTCCTGAGGAGTCAACCTGGAAGAGCTCGCTGCAAGTCGGGGTGGGAGCTGGACACATTAAGCCATGTTAGAGATTTCAAATGTGGGGACTGAAGAGGTGGTAGGACTGCGGATGTAAGCGGTGCAGCCACCATGTTGATAAGGCCATGAGTTCAGTCACACTCACAATGGTGTGTTTAGGGAGGGGGGGTAGGCAGGCTGAGACACACTCATGCACGCACACTACAGTCACGCACACGTGCATTTCACACACACCTGCTCTTCCGGCACTCATTCAAACAGCTTTCCTCTCACACACTTTCTCACACACACACTTGCGTACAGCAGGTGCAGAACTCAACGCAGTACCTGGGGGGTTACAGTAGAGAGGGAGGGGCACTGAGAGATGTTTTTGGCTACCTGCAGAGCCTCTATCCTCAGGGCAGCAAGCACCAGCTCCTCCTGGGCCGCACACATGGTGGGTGGGGTAGGGGGAGCGGATTGATGGATTTCAGTGGTAAGGGAGGGGGATTGCGGCCCAAGGATGAGAGAGCAAAGGGAAAACATACAGAAACTTGAGTTGAGGGCACACCCTTGCTGCTGTCTACATTTTACACTCCATCAATCTATTTTACACAGTGAGCTAAAAAAAAAAACTGCAACTTAAGTATGAGGAGGAAAATGAAAAGGCAGGATGTAGGAAGGACACAATGGAAATAGCTTTCATACAAAAACACACAGAATCATATATCAGGGACACAAATGGGCCACCAGAGTCAAGGCCTGTAAGGTTTATCAAGAGGGGTCAATGCGTGGTCTGTCAACACACCTGTAGTTTTTGGGCGAATGCGGTGGGGTTGGTCTCAGCCAGGTCAGGCTCCAGGTACTGCAGGGGGTCGTCACACTCAGACAGCCTGTCTAACAGGGGCATGGCCAGAGCCTCCACAGGGGCCTCCACAGGGCCCTGGCTAAGGGGCTACAGGGGCACCGGGAGGAGTAGGCAGAGGGCAGGGAGGAGGGCAGGGGTCAGCATGGCAAAGCAAGCGCTGAGTGTTTGAGTGGCAGCATTGGGAGCTAAGTCACTGAGTTCAAGCTGGGAACCTAGTGTGGCGAACTGGCTATGTGTTATCAGTGACAAGGCTTTAATGAGAATCACTATGACTGATGCCGCTTACATTGGAGGGCCATGTGCAGTGTGGCACACTCCCCCTTGAGACTAAATAATGACATAATGTAAATGTGACAAAACTGACAGGTTCTTCTTACATGATGGTGACAAGACACAGAAATGACAGTGATTTTCTTTTTTCACACCACATGTGATAACTTCTCACTGAGTATGAAACTTCACAAAACGCATTTGGCTCACCTGCTCATCCCTCTCTATGCTCTGTGTTCGGCTGAGTGCTTCACTTTCTCTCTTTCTGCCCTTGTCCCCAGTAGAGCCATCTGGACCAGGCCGGGAGCTCAGCACCGGTGTCTTTATACCCGCTGTTATCTGGGCTTCCATCTCCTCAAAACTCCTGCACCAAGTGAGGGAAGGAGGAAGAGGAAAGAGAGAGCGGGAGAGAGAGGGACATGGTATGCAAAGTACTGTATATGATGGATGACAGTGTTAATGAAAATAATTGCAGGAGCAGCTGATCTGCATGCTTTATGGATCACAATTAGCAAACTAGATATACCAGTAAAGCACTTCCTATAAAAGTGAACATACAATGTATCTAATATTGCAAAGTAACTATACATATATATATATATATATAAACATATAGTAGTAGTAGGGGAGTGTTGTACCCTGTGCAGGGAGAGCTGGGCTCGGATCCATGTGCATTCTTGGTTAAGTTGTCAGATACTGAGTCCAACTTCAGGTACAAAGATGGCTTCTTCACAGACAATGGCTACAAGACACACGAGAATAAAGAAGAATCTATCAAATTTTTCTTTGTTTTTGGTGGTCAATATAACATATCACACATAAAACATACCACTATGAATAAAGAAAGCAGCAAAGATTTGATACATTCTTCTGAATAACATCGAATACTCACAGGCGAAGAGGAGCCAATCTTCTCCATGTACTCAATTTCATAGTCTTGCACTGACATAGAAAGACAAAGCAAAGTTTGAGATGCAGAAGCCAAACTGTAGAAACAGTTGAGCCAGTGTTGAGCTCTGCACTGATGGGATCAGAAGCTGAGGCAGGGCTGTTCGTTATTTCATGTCTGACCCAGATGGGTTGAGCCACACAGCCTCTGGAAAGAGGTTGCTCTTCTGGAGGTCAGAGGACAGTAGAGAACTGGGCCAGCAGGGTTATTTCATTCCCACAACAAAAATCAATAACGTTGCTGGATGACTGAAGAGTAAAGTGGCTGATTGCTGTACATGACAGTTTATCCGAACACAAGCATTGAATTTCCTTTGAGCACCGCCTGTCTGTGGTATGCTTTGATCTCTGCTAGCTTTTATTTGGACACAGGTGGCTGGAGGTACAAAGAGGAAGCAAAGAGAGTCAGACAGCTAAGCCTCACCTGGAGCCTGATGAGGAAGACTGTTCTCATTAACAAAGGAGGTAAGGTCACATGGCTGAGGGAAGTCTTGTTGGTCAGAGTTTAAATCTGCATCCATGTCGTGCAGGGCTGCCCACTTATGACTGGTGGAGGAAGCCAGCTTCTCCTCATCTGTGGCATGGTCGTCTTGTGGGTGGAGGGAGGAAGGTTCATCTGAGGGCGTAGGATCCTGCAACACAAAGGAGACGGCAGTGAGAGGGTCAGATGGGAGACAGAGAAATACAAGCAGACAAAAGTGAAAAAGAAATGGAGAGGCAGATCAGGCACGCACCTGGGATGGGTCAGACAAAGGGGATTTCTTTGGCGACCTTTTCACTCTGAAAGTATTACTGAGAAAAAAGAAAAACGCTCAGTCATTAAAGATCCAGAGTCACTCATCGGCTTTAGTATTAGAACCAAAATTAACTGTCTAACATAATTTGCTACATATCTCAAACATGTATAGTCACAAACTCTAAAATGTGAAACTGGTTGGGCACATTTGCTTTTGCAGAAAATGACAATATCGTTTGCATAGAGCAGCCTTACCATATGTGTAACAGATCTACTTACTGGAGGTCTATGTGTGGCTGAAATGAACAGAGCTGTGAAATGTTTCTGAAGAGGTCTGAATCTATAGTTAGTCACTAATCATTACAGAGTTGTGGTAAATGAATGTTATGTTATGAATAGTTGACTTTTCACAGAAACAGACACATAACACAGATCCAAGACAGGAATGTATTTGGTAATGTAGCAGGTTAGTACGGACATTGATGCAAACGTTATTGATTACTCTAGATTGACTGTTGGTGGAAGGTGTTTACTTTTGTTACACAGCAATTGTAAAGAGCTGAAAGTCCTTGTATAGCAATTTACAACAACTTTTAGGAAGTGTCTCCTAATTTATCTCTAAATTTAATGGGGAAAATATATCTGATAGATCTGAGCTGGTTCTTCAGTGGGTAAAATATCTGCACCCTGTCACAAATAAACATCTTCGGTGTTTCATGGTTGTGTGTTTTTAACTGAATTCATTCGGAATCAGTATAAATTGGATGATAACAAAAAAAAAACTATATTTATCTATTTAAGTATAATCATTATTACTATAGATAGTTTTAGCTTTTTCAACAGTAGTCAACAGTGAACACAAGAGGGAGCACAAGCACCTCCTTTGTTGCACACTTGCACTTTGACACAGTGGCAACTATCACAGATAATTTGATATGTTATCAACTTTAGTAGAAACAAGGTAATGGCACATTGTACCATATAACAATGTAAATAACATTTCCTCAATATTTACACTAGAATATCTTTAAAATGTTATTTTTTTTTAAAGTGACTGCTACAACTAGCAAACACAACAAACTTCAACACCTCAGCATATGTTAAGTTTGTCTTAGTCATTCAACAGCACCTCATTGAGCGCTGCTGCACTGACCTCTGTTGGTAGAAGGTTTTAAGCCCAACCACGTAACACCTTCGTGCACTTTGCTGTATTTCACTAAATGGCTACACAAGTAGAATTCTCCGCCTGTGTGTAGTAACCTTTACATTTCTGTTTAAATGCTCTTTGTACATTTTACGCTACAATAATTGTACTATGATGTTTTTCAGTTGGCACTTTCAACTAACAAAACCAAAAACAGTAGTAGTAGCAGTAAAAATGAGCTTAAAGTATAAATAAATAGTTTGATAGTGGATTGTGATGTTTCTGTTAACAGGAAGAGGGACCACAAGGCAACATGCAGCTTTTAAAGGAACCATGTGGAATTAGGGGTCAAAAAGGGTGGATGGTCGTGTTGTCCCTGTACTTACAACAGACAACATAGAGAAGACACACCCCTGGACTTCCTGTGACATATGGGAATACACAGACACAGGTGACAGAGAGACAGACAGAGGACACTGGCATAATAGACAAGAGGACCACGTACAAACATAGACTAACCTAAAAAGAAAACCTTACCAGAGATGCAGACATCCCTACACATGAATACAATATTCTGTGAGAGTAGACATAAATGTATGGTCCCGTAGTAATAGACTTTGAACTTACGATTTGATTGGAGTTTTCTTCTTCTTGGCAGGTTTGTTCTGATTTTGGTCCTCCAGTTCTCCAATGTTGTCATTGTCATTTTCATTGTCATAGTCATTGGATGACAGTTCAAAGGAGGTAGAGGCCTTAGGAGGGGAGTTAGCCATCTTATTGGAGGATTTGAAAGGGTCTACAGAGTCATCAAAGTTACTGGGGTCAAAGCTATAAGATGGCCTCGATAGCTTTGGGGAGTTGGAGATGCCTTTCTTAGAAGTAAATGGATTGAAGTTTGGATCATCCCACTTGTCAGGTTCAAAGCCGTAAGACGCTTTATGAACAGGGATTTCGTCCTCGTTGCCATTGTGGGTAGCTGGAGGATCATTGTCCAGCTTTTCCACCTGTGCTGGAGGGGCCTTCTTCAGCCCGAGCTTTGGTTTCCTAAGAGGCATCTTGCCACCGGGCTTCTTGCCCAATTTTTTGGGTGGGGGAGAGGCCTGGTGTGAAGCCTCACCGCTCTCCTCAGAGTAGTCAAACTCCAGCCTTACTGACTGACGTTTGGGGATGATGGGTTGCTCTTCAGGGTTTGTGATTGGCTCTTCAAGGGGAGCTGGTGGACACGGCTCCACAACAGAGACACAAGAACTCTCTGGAGGGGTGGCAATGGGGGCACACACAGGACCTTTACGACCCAGAACAGGGGAATTGGCAATTTTACTACCTCCAGTATTGAAAGGGTCTATGTTCTCAAAATTATCTGGATCCCATTTGTAGGAGGTACTAGGGGGGATGGGGGATTCGTCTTCGCCTGTTGGACTACCAGGAAGAGGGGTCTCCTCCTGGCACAAGGGTAAGAGCGGGATGACAAGGCTCTCCTCTTGGCTGATATGATTGGTCTCCTCCGGCAAAGGAGGAGGAGTCTCCACACGGGTCTTCCTGGTCCTTCTGAGGGTTCCTCCAGGGCTCGGGGTTGCAGATCCTCCCTCTGCGTCCTCCTGAGTCTGGAGAGGGTTGGCAGTTCGAGGCTTTGCCCGCTTCTTGATCTCTGGGGTGCTGCCAGATGAGGCTGGCCTTGGACTCTCTGGGTTGGAATTTTGTCTGAGCAGAGGCTTCTTCTTTACAGACCCAGAGCGGATTTTCTTGGGCCTGTGAAGTGTCCCTGGGGCACTCTCAGTCCCCACACTGAAGGATTCAGAATGTGGGTGAAAACCTCCCGCTGTTGATCCGTCCAACAGACCAGCGCTGTCTAGTTCTCCTCCCTGGAGGCTGAGTGACCGGGTCAGAGTGTGACTTGTTACATCTGTAGCAAAAACCTCTATGTTGTAGGTGCCACTGGCTGCAATGGGCTTGTCCTCATCAAAAACAATGGACGGTGAACGGCAAGGTGCTACACCTGAAGTCAAGTCAGAGGCAGGATCAGTAACTGAGGTCTCTGCTTCTGCAAAAGATGGAGAGACATAATGTAAAGAGGTTTTATTCAGCTATTAAAAAGGTGAAATCAAAATTAAATGAAATTGGGATTAATATACATTTTAACTGGTGTTGGGGTGAGATGCAGGTGTGATCATGGAAGCCTGCATGGAGATAAAAGCTGCAGCTGGTTTCTTAGACTGAGACAAATTTGCTATAAATAATTCAATAAGAGTCTCTCAGTTGGATAGAAGGCCATGAAAAATAACCCCAAGAGAGAGGGACTGATCTTATTGGTCAGCCTTTCCTAGATACCCAAAAAGCCTCAGTTTTGTGCAGCAGAGATACTTGTCTCAGCAAACAAAGCCAGATGTAAAACGCTGTTTTATTCCACTAGGTGGTGCAACAAGACTTTCGTTTCACCTGCTTTTTTACAACAGTGTAACAGCATCACTGTATAAGCGCTAAGCCCACATCATGGCAAAAATCTAGAATAGTACCTTTGTCATCCAACGGTAGTTGCTGGATTTGGGGCTCGGTAGGAGAAGCAGCCTTTACTGGAGTTGTAGATTCAGGGGTTTCAAATGCTCCATCAGAGTCTGAGCTCCTACAACAAAAGATAAGGACACATTAAGACAAAGCTGCTGTGAATCAGACTGAGATCACTTGAACTGTTACGACTCTAGCAACTGTATCAGGATCACTGACGTCAGTGCGAGGGTGAGCTAAACTCCATCAGACACATCAAAAGGACACATTTATTTTCCAAGTAAGCAGCTCGGATATCATTCTTTAAAACAATATGTGTAAACATGTTATCATACAGAATCAATAAGGGAAGCATTTGGCTGTGGGTTTCCGTTAGGAAGCGCAGCAGCCCCAGGCTAGTATGTGTTTCTGTTTTCATCCTTGTAGACCTTTATGGCTACAAATGAAAACGCTGAATCTGCAGTGAGGTGACATATAATGACCCATCTGAGACACAGATATACCCCACGTCATACACACATGCCTACCACAAGATCTGAAAAAAAGCACAGCTATGAAACAGACTGAGAGGAACACTGAGCCAGAAACAGAGAGAACACCAATTTCTGCATGACAATAGGCTGTATATAAAAATATAATTAATATTAATAGGTCTTTCTCAGCTCCATACACACACACACATAGCCAAGCTCATCAGACAACCTGACTACCAAGATCCATGCTCTGTTGATCAATGTATTATCTGACGGTTTGTGGCCCCAGCCTCCCATCCCGTCTCACCTCTGTCTGACCGGCCCTCCCGCAGCCCTGATCATGTTGTCATGACGTGAGCCCCAGGAGAGACGCCTGAAGAGCCCAAAAGCCGGATCCGAGCCTGGGCTGTCCCCGTCTCCTGCCCCTCCCAGCAGTGTGTCCCAGCCCCAGCGAGCCCACTGCAGAGGAGACAGAGCCTGCCACGCACTCACTGCCATGGCTGCCGGCAGGCTGCACCTCACCGCACCACGATGCTACTGCCTGACACACAGGTAGACGCCCACCGCCTCTTCCTCAGATGATGACTAAGACCACCAGATCCAAAATTTCCTCTGCTTTCTCTCTACAGCCTAATATCCAGATCTCTTTTTTTCCAGTCTACAATCTTATTCCTTTCACGTTGCTGCTCTTTGTCATGTAGCCATATCAGTCGGTCTCCACTCCTCCCCACTAGGAAATGATGCCTCCCAATCTAAATGAGACTGGCTGCAGAAGCCCAGCGCCTGCATACTATATATTCAGGCACTCTCTCTCTCTCCCTCTCTCCGAGCCTTCATCCCCGTACTTTCCTCCTCCCTCCACCTCTCTCGCTCCTGAACCACACAGAAGAAAAGGCAGTCTATTGCCCACTAGCTGAACCTGTTCTAAAAAGCTTGCTCATTACTTATACCACCACATCTGGTATATAGTTGTCCCTATCATAGTGTCCTTTTCTGCCTAAATTAATGAAGAAAATTGACACACTTTTTTGGTCAATACAAAGACACACCCAGATTTTGCTCTACAAACCCAGGTCATTTTCACAGACACACTGAAACTTAAGAAACATATCTTTTGATAACTACTGATACCTGAAAAGATATTGCTGTGAGTATGTGTGCGTATAAGAGATGGTTTTTGGACAGTATAATGAAAGCTTCTTTCTCTCTTCGTCGAACAACATAAAATGGTGATAAAAACACACAGGATCCCCACAGTTAAATGACACCTCCAAGTCTATACACTATATTGATCCTGCAGATCTATAAGGATTCACCTCAAGGCATTGCGAGGCCATTCAGCATCTTGTGGCGTTCCTTTATCACAGACACACGCAAACATGGATGAGATAAAAGCAGCAGTAGCATGAAAGAGGTGGTGGGGCCTGAAACACAATCTAGCCATCAATATGGTCGATGTAACAAAAATTCAGAGCTGAGACATTAGTGTTTATAGAGGAGGCTGGTTATAAATGTCTTTTGCTGTCATAGTCAATATGTTCACTATCCCAGGGGTCAAATAACAGCAGAGATGGAGGTTCCTCTAGGCCAACAATATGGCAGGAATAACATATTCTACTTACACTGCAATGTGTGCCACTGACAAATATGAAAAATTCATCAGGCTACACAAAAGCAGTACTTACCATGTTATAGCAAACGGGGTACAAAATGATAAGTTGTTTAATCTATATCAAGTCTGATATTTCCTCAGATCAAATGCTCTTAAAAACACCACCATTACTTTCAGGGTGGTGGGAATCAAAATGAGACAACACATGGCCCAGAAGGGAGCCAGAGCTATAATCTGTCTGAGGGTCCAGTGTGTCCCAGCAGGATAAGACTGGTCTCCCTGAAGATCCATCTGGATCAAGTGACTGGGAACCAGGATCATAGTGTCAGATGGTCGGAGAGGCATTGACACAGACAGCTCCAAGGACAGGACTCACTTACAGAGTGTAATAAACAAAGACCAAATAAGCAACAACACGCCAAGCTGAATATATTGAAATAAAACTACTCAATGAATTAATCTACACCTACCTACTAAGAGATTTAGCTCTCTGGAGATTTTGTTCTGATGTGTAGCAATGACATTAGCACATAAAAACTGCTGCTTCCAGAATGGATGGAAATAAAACTGAAAACACTGAAACCATATGGTAATTAGGGCTCATTTCAGTGTGCTGATTATGTCCTTGCAGAGGACATTTTTCATGTGACTGCAAACAGTGTGTTGCTATGGTAACTGGAGGTTGTTCCCGCCATATGTTCCACTATGGTGGAGGAAATAAAACAGTGTGGCTGGATGCACGCGGGCCAACACACACACACACAACTGAGGCTTGTCTAACCAACAAGGTCCAGTGATGTGTTATGTATGAGTACATATATGAATACAAATAAAGGCACATTGCAGATTTACAAGGCAAGCGGCTGCTGCATCAGCATCATTCAGCTCACGGGCCATAAATTGGTTTAACTGAAAAACTAAAAACAGGACCCATTTTGTTTATTCTACACTTAAATTCCTCTCAGAATGGTTATTATTGATCACCATTATTCAAATTTAAACAAATGGTATGTGATAAACATGAAATCATGCACTGAAAGGAGGATAAAAATCAATCTGGGAATGCCTTTTGTGTTAATGCAAGCACATCTTCAGCAGCTCTTATGTTACCTAGTTGCAGACAAAACATAGAAAGAGGAAAAGCAGCGTGTGGGTGAGCAGTTAGGCTATGGGGGCGAATAGAAACAAAGAGAGCAGTTAATAGCAACCTCTCACAGGCTGAGATGACTGCCTGGAGACAGAAACTCTGCAGCATGAGGCAGGGAGAAGCTGCATTTCAGACAGCCAGACGTGTCTGTGCTTCCAGCCAAATCCAACTCAGCCTGTCTAAACAGCTTTCACAGTGCTGGAGGTAGAGCCATCGCCAGCCCCGGGGAAGAGGGGGATATTGGCCTACACTGACACGTAAACCTTACACCACCTGTCTGTCCAAAAAACTAAAGAAATTAAGATGTTGTGCATTGCAAATGAAGATAGGTACTTCTGTTTTTTGCTAGATTTGATGTCACTATTAATGAGTGGTAAGGAGGCAACTGTGATTAGGTGAAAGCTGGTGGAAAAAAACAAGACGAAGGGAGGGATGAATGAAGGCAGGCTGCTGGTCTCTGAGCAGCTGTGTGATTAGCCTAAACGCTGCCGCATACTCCCTTCATCGTCTCTCAGTTGTCAAACACCTCTGTCTGGGCACGATATGTCATTTATCTCTTTCCATTCCACCCCTCCTTTACCTGCTCTATCTCTACAATTCATCATTCCTTTGTTATCATCTCCTCGTTTAGCAACCCCATCCCTCTCGGCTGTTTTGGAGCTTTCAATATCAGGTTGCTGTTGTGGTGTGCATTTTGGGCATTAAAGAATCAACAGCCTGTCTGTCAGACAAAAAGGGAAAGTCCAGCAGCTTTAGTCTGACATAGGCTGTTGTCAGCAAAAAGTGGGCTATGTGGTAATGCTTTCAAAAACTTTCAAAACTATCAAATGTTACTGCCAAAACAATGATAAATGAATAAACTGTATCCATTAAATTTGATTATATCATTGTGATCATGGTATTGGGAAGTACATTTTTTTACAGCACATATTTTTACTATATGATAATAACGGTAAATTTCTCTTTTGTTCGATATTATGAAAATAATATAACAATAAAATATGGAATATGTGTTTGTCCCCCATTACACTGTATAAAGTCTATGGTCTCTCCTATAGGGAAGAAAAGAAGAGACCAACAGAGGGAGCTCACGTGCTTTCATCCCCCAGAGGAATGAATGTCTGGATACAAAGCATTACATCATAGGCACTGTACACCCTGTGAAAACACCACAACAACCTATTTTAATTTTACAAGAGCCTCTCCAGTTTCTACCCAGATGTGAAGTGGTGAGCAGGGAGCAACTTCTAGAGGTTTGGTAATGGGAAAAAGGCACAAAGAGGCTGTGTCCTCTGCAAATGATTCTTCAACCTCAGGAAATGAAATCTTATGGAGAATCACTCTGCACCTTCTGCGGGTCATATAAACAGAACCTGAGAGAAAAGTGTTTTTCTCAAAGAGCAGATGTCTTTGCAGTTTCTGTCTCCCGTCTCCATCCAGGACTGATGTCAGCTCCAATCAGCAAAAACCTCCCCCTTGAAGCTGGTATCCCTTTGTCCAAGAAATCCACTCAGTCTCAAAAACAAAGAAGAGTGTCAGACTAAGATAATCTCTATATGTGTAATACCACATCTAGCCTAATCTGAGACTGACTGCAAGCAGATGGCACATTAAACAACAACAGGCCAGATCTGTAAGTAAGGGCTCCAGCAAGGAGGGGGTTAAAATATCTCTCCATTTTGATGATGAGATCAGACGCTAGGTTAATTCAGATTACTGCAAGAAAGGCACAGGAGAGAGAGGCAGAGTATCCCAACCCCCCATGAATACAGACAACAACACAACCTGGACTCTTATTTTAGATTTGATAATAGAATGAGACTAAACATTACCTTGAGCATAAACATAATTTGGTCCATTATCTAACACTTAACACTTTCAAATCA